TCGCGGGCTGCTCGCGGGCAGTTCGCGGGCTGTGCGCGGGCTGCGCGGGCTGGTCGCGGGCTGCGCAGGCGGGTCGCGGGCTGTGCGCGGGCGGTTCGCGGGCTGTGAGCGCGGCGCGCTGTGCGGTTCGCGGGCGGCGTGACGGGGCCGATCGGGGCGCTAAGGGGCGACGCGACGGGGGCCGTGAGAGGCCGCTAGGAAAAAAAAATTTCGACGGGGCCGCAGGGCCGCTAGATCGTGCTAGATCGACGGGGCCAGCGGGGCCGGAAACAAGCGAAGGTAAGCAGGTAGGTAAGTCGGTGGGCCCTAAGAACAGTCCTAGCGAAGGACCTGCTCTGAAACCATGTCAGAAATAACTGAGCAGGAATGAATGAACTAGAACAGAGTTTGGTACAAGTAGTAAACCCTAACTTTGTGTACCCCCTAAGGTGTAACCCACTACAGCCTAGACAATATAAACATGCAATGTTTGACAAGGAGACACGGAGCCAGAGGTTGAGCTGATGCGCGGTGTACCGGACCGCAAACGACCACAGAAAATGGGGAGCCGCTGCATGGATCAAGGAGGTACGAGCGATCTCCATGACCAAGCCAATGCGACAATCAGCAACCTTATTTTGCTGGGGGGAGCCCGGAAGCGTGAACGACTGCTCGATGCCCTCCCCCTGACAGAAGGCCCGCAAGAGGTCGGAGGTGAACTCACCACCTCTGTTAGAGTGCAGACGCAGGACAGGAAGGTCCGTACGGAACCTCCGGCGGAGCTGGAGACGAACTACTTGGATCCAGGGATCAGGACAGCAGAGACCTCACCCTTGGTGCCCAAGGGGAAGACCGTGGTGTAACGCGAGTAGTCGTCGTCAACAGCAGAAAGTACCGCTCGCCGCCCTGTCCACGAACGCGGGCTGGGCCCCACACGTCCAGGTGGAGGGTCTGCAGGGGAGCCTCTGTCGGGGGAAACGAGGAGGAGTGAGGAGCGGCGTGCTGCCGCCCCTCGACGCAAGGAAGGCAGGGCGGCGCAGGCGAGGCAGGAAGAAGAGGCAGAGACCTGGGAAGACGCTGCAAGGAGGGGTGACGCAGGCGGTGGTGCCAGAGTAGAGTCTGGTGCGACAGGGAGCGACACTCACAAGGGGAGGCTACCAGACCTGACGCAGACACCTGACCGACAGCAGCTACCTGAGGAGACACAGTCATCAGCGTGTAAAGACTCGACCCTGGCCGACGGGTGAACGTGGCCAGGTGACGGCCAGTCCTGGAGCACGTACAGATCGCCACACGCTGTCCTCCAGGGGTAAAGGTGTCAACCCAATGATCCTGGAGGACTGCATTGCTCGCCAACTTCGTCGAGAACGAGGGGAGGTGGAGAGGTGACAGTGAGCCAGACGGAACCGGCGGGCACGGAAGCACAGTGGTGGACCGTGCAAGAACTGGGCCCCCTGAGGGGTCAGCCAGAGAGACTGCAACAGGTGCAGGGAGTGGTGTGAGTGCGGTACTGTCACGAAAGAAACAGCGGGAAGCACCTAAGTCAAGCGTGAAGGTGTGCAAGGCCTCAACAGGCGCAGTACCTGAGGGAGCAGACTCACTAGCACCTAAGGCAGCAGCCTCACTAGCACCTAGAGCAGCAACCTCTATACCGGGGTCGTACTGCACACACAGGTAACAGTCACTCTCAGCACCACCAGGCAAGGTATACATGGCAGTAAGGATGGCGTCATAGTCTAAAGCAAAGACATCAACGCCCGACCTAAGCAGCTCAAGCCAGTGGGGGATCTCAGCCTCAGTCAAAGAGGAGAAGCAGCGGGACTGTGCGTGACCAGGTGTCCCACAGGTCTGACCAGCTCGACGACCTGTGCGAATGACGTACGTGCTGCGACCAGGACTCGGAGACGGCCCACGCTGGTAAAGCCACTCACGAAGCTGTCGGGTTGTAAGGGTCGGACGCCGCTGTAGCTGCATCTGGCCACCGCCAGAAACTCCGCACCAAACAGCACCACAGTGACTGCTACTACGGCCGCCACCACTCCCACTGCTGCCACCACCGCCGTCACCACTCCCACCGCTACTACGAAGTGAAGTCATAGCGGGCAAGCAAGGAGGCGCGCGACCTCTAGGGCAGTACGGAGTGAAGGCAGTAGCACGAGTAGCAGCAGCAACAATAAGAGCAGCAGAGCGGCTCGTCAGGCTAGGCTGCAGCACCTCCTGCACTCCTAGCAGCACCTCCACCAGAAGCAGCGGTAGCACGAGCAAAAGGGCGGATCAGGTTGGGCAGGGCGGCTCGGGCTGGGCGGCATGGCTCGGTCTGGGCGACGCGGGTAGTAGGGCGCGCGCTGTGCAGAGCGCGACGCGCGGGCTGCCGTAGGGCGCGACGAGTGGGCTGCAGTAGGGCGCGACGCGCGAGGCAGCAGAGCGCGGCGCGACGGGCTGCCTTAAGGCGCGACGCGCAGGGCACGGCGTGCGCGGGGTAGCGCGACGCGGGTCAGGGCAAGGCGTGCGCGGGGCAACGCGACGCGAGGCAGGGCAGGGCATGCGCGACGCGGGGCAGGGCAGGGCGTGCGCGAGGCAGCACGATGCAGGGCAGGGCCGGGCGTGTTCAGGGCAGCGCGACGTGGGGCAGGGCAGGGCGTGCGCGAGGCAGCGCGACGCAGGGCAGGGCCGGGCGTGCGCGGGGAAGCGCGACACAGGGTCGTGGGGTAACACGGTAACCGCAGGTGGTCGCTAAGTATGGTGGGCTCGAAAGAAAATGGTCCTACGGACCTTCTCCTCTGATACCATGTCAAGATAGCAAGCAGGAATGAGTGCATTGAATGGGATGTGGGTAAAAGTACTAGCCCTAACTTTGGGTTGTACCCCATATGGGCTACCCCACTATAGCCTACACAAAACTACCACAAATATAGTTTGACATATCCCTCTTCCTAGCAGGATCAGCTGCGGTCCATATCTCAATGCTGAAATTTTCCAGCCTGCCCTTGAGAGCGCCCAAACCCACTCTAGCAGTCACACCTGTGTGGGCGGACTTTTCAATGCCGAAAGGGATATAAACATTACAAGCAAATTTAGTGAGAAAATCATAACATTCAAAAAAGTTGAGCATCTATTGCATGAATATGTGCATGAATATATCAAGAGCTGTTCACATGCGTACGATGTGTTTAATTCTAATATACAATATCACTTTCAGCTAGGGATTGGTTCTAGTACACAACGTTTTTGTCATTTTACGCTACGTACGTAGATTTGACCAACGGGATCAGCTGCGATCCATGTCGCAATGTTGAAATCTTCCAGCCCGCCCTTGAGAGCGCCCAAGCTCACTGTAGCAGTCACATCTGTGCTGAAAGGGAAAGAAAAAATACAAGCAAATTTTGTGAGAAGATCATAACATTCGAAAAGCATATAGCATCTATTGCATGAATCTGTGCAAAAATATATCAAGAGCAATTCACATGCGTAAGATGTGTTTAATTCTAATATACATTGCTACTTTCGGCTAGGGATTGGTTCTAGTACACAACGTCTTTGTCATATTACGCTAAAAAAAAAAAAATAGAGCAAAAAAAAAAGAGAAAAAAAAAATAGAGAAAAAAAAAAGAGCATCTATTGCATGACTATGTGCATGAATATATCAAGAGCAATTCACATTCGTACAAGACAATGGAAGACGCTACATAAAGTAATGCCAAATAGAACAGTGAAAGTACGACGACTTATGCCAGCTATGCATTCTTGCCTTTACTTTATTCTGCTACTTCTAGCTTAGGTTTATTTTATGCATGCATGAATTGCTTGATTTCCTAGGCTAGGTGCTTTCCTATATTTTATTATAGTTATAGCACCGAGCTAGGTTGCGTACACCGAATTCTGGGCTATTCGGTTGCCACCGAATTGCCTTCTACCGAATTCGGGAAGGGTCTGTTCGGGACGCTTCGCGACCCCCAGAACCTTCGCGTAACACCTGGTTACTGCCCCTTGTGTCAAGCCTACATATAGCCTCGTGTTGTACCCAGGTGATTCATTCAATTCAAACTCTCTTTTCTGAGCTCGATCCTAGATCCTCACAAGAACACCATATGACAACTACAACATAAATTATGGACACACAAGCACTTGTCGTCGAAAACCATGACAACAGTATCCCGCTCGAACGCATCCCATGACACGTGCCCTATGTCACAGAGGTACGCGTCGTTGGTGAAGCACCATCCGACGAGGAAACCGCGAACATCAGGGGCATCGTGCAACTGCCTGAACGGGTAGAACCACGTTGTGGTGATGTCAGTATTGCGTATCTCCACGCTGAGTGCATATGTGATCTTTTGGCCTAAAGAGATCACGTTCTCTTCCACCACTCCTAAATTGGAGGAGAGAGAGAGAGAAAAAAGATTTGAACAAGTTTACAAATTCCAAGCATAACTATGCAGACAGTTATTGATCATAGAATTGATAACATCTTTAATGTGGACGAACATGCAATACAAACACGATAACTGTGAACAACGTGCATCACTTACGAAGTGACGCTGCCGACGTAGGCTGATGCGGGTACAACCCAAAGTTAGGGTTAGTACTTGTACCCACATTTCATTCAATGCAGTCATTCCTGCTCGTTGATTTCGAACATGGTTTCAGAGCAGTAGGTCCGTAGGACCGGTTTTTTTTTTTTTTTTTTTTTCCGGGCCCACCATTTACCTAGTGACCGACTACGGTTACCGCGTTACCCCACTGTCAGAATGAACAAGAGTGATTGAACTAGGAAAGAGTTGGGTACAAGTAGGAAACCCTAAACTTACTGTACCCCATAGTAACTACCCCACTGTACTAGAAAGGCAAAGCAAGCTCAGGGTGGATCACAACGTCACCACACACTCTGAGCACAAGCAAAGGGCCACTAGGCCAGTTCACATGCAGAGGCATATATGCAACACAAGCAGCACAGTGATCTATACCTAGCAAAGCAAGCATGCAGGTATATATAAATAAATAGATCACATTACAGGCAGAGTCTACAACAAGTGAGGAAAAGTGGGCACAAGCCCTAGCAAAGTGCAGAAACGCTGATGATCACCCAACTGAAGCGCCTTGGTGAATATATCAGCAGTGTTGGCCGGAGTGGCCACGTAACGTAGACGAAGCTGACCACGCTGCTGCAACTCTCGAGCCAGAAAGTAACGTAGAGCGATGTGCTTCGTTCTGTGCTCCAGTCTGTGCTCCTCACACAAGGCAATGGCAGCCTTGTTGTCGACGTACAGCACTGGAGGAGAACGAGGCCGCTCTCCCAGGTCGGTCAGCAGGTAGGTGAGCCAGCGTAACTCCTGTGCAGCCATGGCTGTGGCGTAGATCTCAGCCTCACAACTGGAGCTGAGAACTGAAGACGAACGTGTAGAACGCCACGAAACTGAGCCAGAGCCGAGGCTGAAGGTGTAACCCTGTGACGACCGCTGAGTAGCCTGGTCGTCAACCCAAGAAGCGTCTGAGTGCCCAGTGAGAACAACTGGGCTCCCTCCTCCAAGCACGAGCCCCATGCCCGATGTACTGCACAAGTAGCGCAATACCCTCTTTGCAGCATCCCAGTGCACCTTTCGGTGCCTACCAGGAGCCACGTAGCGTGCCAGAAGGCCAAGAGGGTACGCTAGGTCAGGACGAGTGCAAGTCATCAGGTACATGAGGCAGCCAACTAGCTCTGGGTAAGGACCACTCGGCTCTACGGACTCATCCGAAGGCAGAGCTGAGAGCGAGTGACCTGTAGCCAGAGGAGTGGCCTGTGCTGAGGACCAGGTGAAGCCGAAGCGCTGAAGGACCTGCTGCACCATGTGTGACTGAGTCAGTGTGATGGTGCGGCGTGCTCTGTCCCGGGTGATCTGCAAGCCAAGGTAGCTGCGCAGTTCACCCAGGTCTGTGCACGTGTGTCTCTTCTGCAGCTCCGACTTCACGTGGGCAAGAGCCTCAGTGTCAGCAGTGGCAAAGTCCAAGTCGTCGACGTACACGAGGATGTAGAACGGCGGCAGCAAAGTGTCGGTGCGCAGAAACAGCGACGGGTCAGCAGTAGAAGGCGCGAACCCAAGTGCCGCAAGAGTAGTCCTCAGTGTGTCGTGCCACTCACGTGGCGCCTGGCGGAGACCGTAGACCGGCCGCCGGAGGCTCCACTGGGTACCAGGAGGAAACGACCCAGTGAAGCCAGGAGGGCGGCGCAGCCAGATCTCCTCGTGCAGGCTGCCGTGCAAGAAAGCTGTGCTGAAGTCAAGAGAGTGAAGCTCGTAGTCACGCTGAGCAGCAACGTGCAGTAGCACCCGAAGAGTGGTCATCTTCGGGGTGGGGGAGAAGGTCTGAAAGAAGTCTACTCCCTCTCGCTGACTGAAGCCTCGAGCAACGTAACGAGCCTTGAAGACAGGCGGAGAACCTGGCGGCCGCTTCACCCTGAAAATCCACATGCCACTGACGATGTTCGCCCCAGGAGGGGGAACCTCGTCGACGTAAGTGCCAGTGGACTTCCAGGATGCCATCTCTGCATCCATGGCTGTCTGCCACTGAGAGGAGTAGGGACCCGCCATCGCCTCTGCGTAAGAGCGCGGGGTAGGGATGTCTGGAGCATCCGGGTCTCCCTCAGGGGCAAGCAGCATGGACACGAGATGAGGCGCAGCGGCTGCAAGACACTCAAGGTCCTCCTGTCTGTCCTCAAGGACGTCCGTGCCTAGAGCACACTCACCCCCGACGGACGGAGGACAGACAGACTCAGCCTCAGCAACAAGACTCGCGGCGTAGTCTAGACGACAGCGAGCAGCAAAGTCGACAAGCTCAGCAACTAGGGCAGACGCAGCAGCAGTCTCAAAGGAAGGGTCAGTGACAACAGTGGCCAGGAGACGCGTGACAGTAGGACTGGCAGCACGAAGAGAGTCAGACTCTGGGTCAGCAAGAACAGGAAGAGAGGACGCAGGAGGAGACGGTAGAGGGACACGCTGTGGAGCACGGGAAGGACGGAGAGTCATATAGTGTGTGCTAGGGACAGGTGGAAGACGCTCACGCGGAACACGGCGACCAGTGCGAGCAGCACGAACAGGTGACACTGGACGAGACACAGGCGACACAGGACGAGACTCAGGCTCACGACGCTCTGTAAGACCGCCTGTCGGACCAGTGTAGGGAGATGGACCAGGAAGTGGCGAGGCAGGTGGTAGCTGCGACTGCGACTGGACAGGCGGAGGACACGCTAAGGAGGGAGGAGGACTAGGAGGAGGCGGCAAACCAAGAACCTGCTGAAGGAGCGGAACGAAGTACGGCCGCGGCCGTGAAGTGCCCCCAGAAGCAGCAGAGACAGCACCAGAACCTCCTGCCGAACCAGCACCAGCAGCACCTCCAGCAGCTCCAGAGCCTCCAGCAGCACCAGCAGCACCTCCAGCAGCTCCAGAGCCTCCAGCAGCACCAGCAGCACCTCCAGCAGCTCCAGGACCTCCAGCAGCACCAGCAGCACCTCCAGCAGCTCCAGGACCTCCAGCAGCACCAGCAGCACCTCCAGCAGCTCCAGCACCTCCAGCAGCACCAGCACCAGCAGCACCTCCAGCAGCTCCAGAGCCTCCAGCAGCACCAGCAGCACCTCCAGCAGCTCCAGGACCTCCAGCAGCACCAGCAGCACCTCCAGCAGCTCCAGGACCTCCAGCAGCACCAGCAGCACCTCCAGCAGCTCCAGTACCTCCAGCAGCACCAGCACCAGCAGCACCTCCAGCAGCTCCAGGACCTCCAGTAGCAGCAGGGCCTCCAGCTGGCGGTACCTCAACACCAGGAGCTCCACTCCGGAGGCTGCAGCGCCGAGCGTACCACTCACGCAGCTGCTGTGAAGAGGGAGCGCCAACAGGCGCAGTACGGCCAGTCTCAGAACCCCCAGCCTCAGCTCCTCGAGGCTCAGCACCCCCAGTCGCAGCACCCCCAGGCTCAGCACCCGCAGTCTCCGCACCCCCAGACTCAGCACCCCCAGTCTCCGCACCCCCAGGCTCAGCACCCTCAGCACGTCGCGCAGGACCAGATTCAATAGCTACCTCGACAGGCTCGACCGGGTCTACCTGGGAAACACCTGAGGGAGCAGGACCCTGGGGAGGCAGGGGGTCTACTGACGGGACACCTGGGGTGAGGAAGAGCGGCGGGGGGGGGAGCGGGGCAGTGCGGTAGGGGAAGAGACGGTAAAAGGGTACCGACTCGTCAAAGGTGACGTCCTGAGAGGCGAAGACCCGGCGCGAGGTGGGGTGGTAAAACTGCCAGCCAGGCGCGTCAGGGACAAAGCCAAGGAAGACACAGGGAACGGCACGGGAGGAGAGCTTGTCCGCGGACGTATCGCGGACAAAGGCTCGACATCCCCAGACTCGGAACACCGACGCATCGCCAACCTCCCCCGTCCACCGCAGGGTAGGCGAGGTCACGGAGACACGGGGCCAGAGGTTGAGCTGATGCGCGGCGTACTGCACTGCAAACGGCCACAGGAAATGGGGGGCAGCCGCATGGATCATGGAGGTACGAGCGACCTCCATGACGAGACCAATGCGGCGCTCAGCAACCCCATTCTGCTGCGGAGAGGCCGGGAGAGTGAACGTCTGGCGGATGCCGTGCTCCGCACAGTAGGCTGCCAAGAGGTCAGAGGAAAACTCGCCACCTCTGTCAGAGTGGAGGCGTAGGACAGGAAAGTCCGACTGGAACCGGTCGCGGAGCTGGAGACGAGCAGCGCGGATCCAGGGGATCAAGACATCAGGGACCTCACCCTTGGTACGCAAGGGGAAGACCGTGGTGTAGCGCGTGTAGTCGTCGACGACCAGCAGAAAGTACCGCTCGTGGCCCTGTCCCCGGACGCGGGCGGGGCCCCACACGTCCAGGTGGAGAGTCTGCAGGGGAGCCTCTGTCGGGGGAAACGAGGAGGAGTGAGGAGCGGCGCGCTGCCGCCCCTCGACACAGGGAAGACAGGGAGGAGCAAGCGAGGGTGGGAGGGGAGGGAGAACCCTGGGAAGACCAGAGACAAGGTACCGGGAGTGCATGCCACGAAGGCGCTGCACTGACGGGTGACCAAGGCGGTGGTGCCAGAGGACAGTCCGGTGCGACAGGGAGCGACACGAGCAGGGGGCCGACAGCTGACCTGACGCAGACGCAGACGCAGCTACCTGAGGGGACTCAGTGGTCAGTGTGTACAAGTCCGACCCCGGCTGCCGAGTGAAGGTAGCCAGGTGACGACCCGTCTGGGCACACGTGCAGTGCGTCACACGCTCGTAGGCAGGGGTGAACTGGTGAACACCTGCGTCCTGGAGCGCGGAGCCAGCCACCAAGTTCGTAGAGAACGAGGGGAGGTAAAGGCCCGACAGTGTGCCAGACGGGACAGCAGGACAAGGGAGGGCAGTGGTGGAGGTCGCAAGGACCGGACCCCCGGAGGGGTCAGCCAGGGAGACAGCAACCGGCCTAGGGAGCTGCTCGAGGGCAGTGCGGTCGCGAAAGAAACAGCGGGAAGCACCTGAGTCCAGTGTGAAGGTGTGCAGTGCCGTAGTCGTAGTACCTGAAAGCGCAGACTCACAAGCACCTGAAGCAGCAGACTCACGAGCGCCTAGAGCAGCAGCCTCACCAGCACCTGGAGCAGCAGACTGGATACCGGGGACAGGTGGCCCACACAGGTGACAGGCTCCCTCGGCACTAGTAGACAACGTATACATTGTAGTGAGAATAGCATCATAGTCAAGAGCAAGGATATCTACCCTCTGCCTAAGCAAGGATATCTACTCTCCACCCAGTCGGGGAGCTCAGCGTCGTCGCCAAACTCTGTACGCCAAGCGTCGCTCAGACGGGCGAAGCAGTGAGACTCTGTGTGACCAGGCGTCCCGCAAGGCTGACCAGTCCGGACACCCGTGCGAATAACGTACAGGCAGCGAGCAGTACTCAGCGACCCTCTACTCTGAGCGTACCACTCACGAAGCTGCTGGGGCGAACGAGACTCGCGCAGACGACGCTGCTGCGGCACCGAGCCACTACAAGAAACTCCCGGACTACGCACTCCAGGACGACTCCCACTACTGCCACCCCGACAACCCCAACGGGCGTACCACTCACGAAGCTGCTGGGGCGTGAGGGACACACGCGGACGGCCCTGGAGCTGCATCTGGCCACGCCAGGAGCAGCAATAGAAGCAGTAGCAGCAGGACGTGTAGGGACGTGCTCACCAGTGGTGGGAAGGGTAGGCGTACGACGGAGGCGACTGCGGGGCCGCTACAGCGGCAGGGCGGGGCCAGGGGCGGCTGCTGCAGTGGCGGCTGCTCCAGGGGCGGCTGCTCCAGGGGCCAGGGGCGGCTGCTGCAGTGGCGGCTGCTCCAGGGGCCAGGGGCGGCTGCTGCAGTGGCAGCTGCTCCAGGGGCCAGGGGCGGCTGCTGCAGTGGCGGCTGCTCCAGGGGCCAGGGGCGGCTGCTGCAGGGGCGGCTGCTCCAGGGACCAGGCGCAGGGTAGGGGCGACGTGGCAGGCAGGGCGGGCGCGGGGTACTGCAGGGCGACGCGGCGGGCAGGGGCGACGTCGAGCGGGCCCCACAGGGGAGTCGCGACGAGCGGGGGCGACGCCCGGGTCCCGCTGGGGCGGCGCGACGCGCAGGAGCCGCGCCTCGCGGGTCCCGCAGGGGCGTCGCGAAGAGGCAGAGGGCGACGCGCGGGGCCCGCAAGGGCGTCGCGAAGAGGCAGGGGGCGACGCGCGGGGCCCGCAAGGGCGTCGCGAAGAGGTAGGGGCGACGCGCGGGTCCCGGCAGGCCGCAGCCGTCGGAGTGCAGCAGCCGTGGCGCGCGGGGTACAGCCTGCGCGCGAGCGTCGGCCTACGGGCGGCGGCGGCCTACGGGCGACGTACGGGCGTCCTACGGGCTGCGTAAAGGGCGGCCTACGGGCAGCGTACGGGCGGCAAGCAGCCTACGGGTGGCGGCCTACGTGCAGGCAGGTCGCGGGCGGCTCGAGGGGCCGCGAGAGGCCAGTACGAACTGCGTGGGCGGCTAGCGGGCTGCGCGCAGGCGTCGATCAGGCGGCGCGCTGGTGGCTAGCGGGCCACGCGCGCACGAGCAGAGGACGGCGCGCGGGCAGAACGAAGGCGCACGAGCAGAAAGAAGGCGCACGAGGGCGCACGAGCAGAGTAGGGCGCACGAGGGCGCACGTAAGGTAGGGCGCACGAGGGCGCTTCTAGCGGAATGGTGGGCCCGTAGTAGTAAGCGGTCCTAGGTGGCTAACCTAGGCTCGTGATACCATGTCAGAATGAACAAGAGTGATTGAACTAGGAAAGAGTTGGGTACAAGTAGGAAACCCTAAACTTACTGTACCCCATAGTAACTACCCCACTACAGCCTAAACAAACTGTAGCAGATATAACATTTGACACCCACACCCTGCCCTGCGCTGCGCGATCAGCGAGCGCTCTGCCCTGCCCTGCCTTGCGTCACACTGCCCGTGTACGCCCTGCCCCGCGTTGCGCTGCCCCAAGCACGCCCTGCCCTGCCCCGCGTCGCGCTGCCCCGCGCACGCCCTGCCCTGCCCCGCGTCGCGCTGCCCCGCGCACGCCCTGCCCTGCCCCGCGTCGCGCTGCCCCGCGCACGCCCTGCCCTGCCCCGCGTCGCGCTGCCCCGCGCACGCCCTGCCCTGCCCTGCGTCGCGCTGCCCCGCGCACGCCCTGCCCTGCCCCGCGTCGCGCTGCCCCGCGCACGCCCTGCCCTGCCCTGAGTCCTGCTGCAGCCCGCGCCCTGCTGCCCTGCACGTCGTGCCCTGCTGCAGCCCGCGCGTCGTGCCCTGCTGCTTTGCGCGTCGCGCCCTATGGCAGCCCGCGCGTCGCGCTCTGCTGCCCCGCGCGTCGCGCTCTGCTGCAGCCCGCGCGTCGCGCCCTGCTGCCCCGCGCGTCGCGCCCTGCTGCAGCCCGCGCGTCGCGCTTTGCTGCCCCGCGCATTGAGCTCTGCTGCAGCCCGCATGTCGCGCCCTGCTGCCCCGCGCTTCGTGCCCTAATGCAGCCCGCGCGTCGTGCCCTGCTGCCCTGCACGGCGCGCACCCTGCTGCCCTGCACGGCGCGCACCCTGCTGCCCTGCACGGCGCGCACCCTGCTGCCTGCGCCGCCTAGGCCTAGGCGCACCGCCCAGCCCGAGCCACGCCGGCCAGCCCGAACTACCCTGCCCTACCCGATCCGCCCTACTATTCGTACTACTGCTGCTGCTACTGGAGGTACTGCAGCCTAGCCTCACCGAGCCGCTCTGCTGCTACTCGTGCTAGTGCCTTCACTCCGTACTGCCCTAGAGGTCGCGCTCCTCCTAGCTTGCCCGCTATGGCATCTCTTCGTAGTAGCGGTGGGAGTGGTGACGGCAGTGATGGCAGCAGTGGGAGTGGTGGCGGCCGTAGTAGCAGTCACTGTGGAGCTGTTCGGTGCGGAGTTTCTGGCGGTGGCCAGATGCAGCTACAGCGGTGTCTGACCCTAACGCCCCAGCAGCTTCGTGAGTGGTTTTACCAGCGTGGGGGGTCTCCGCGTACTGCTCGCTGCCCGTACGTCATTCGCACAGGTCGTCGGGCTGGTCAGACCTGTGGGACACCTGGTCACGCACAGTCCCGCTGCTTCTCCTATTTGAGTGACGCCTGGCACGCAGAGTTTGGCGACGAGGCTGAGCTCCCCCACTGGATTGAGCTGCTTAGGTCGGGCGTTGATGTCTTTGCTTTAGACTATGACGCCATCCTTACTGCCATGTATGCTTTGCCTAGTGGTGCTGAGGGTGACTGTTACCTGTGTGTGCAGCACGACCCCGGTATAGAGGCTGCTGCTCTAGGTGCTAGTGAGGCTGCTGCCTTAGGTGCTAGAGAGTCTGCTCTCTCAGGTACTGCGCCTGCTGAGGCCTTGCACACCTTCACGCTTGACTCAGGTGCTTCCCGCTGTTTCTTTCGCGACAATACTGCACTCACACCACTCACTACACCTGTTGTAGTCTCTCTGGCCGACCCCTCAGGGGGCCCAGTTCTTGCACGGTCCACCACTATGCTCCTGTGCCTGGCGGTTCCGTCTGGCTCACTTTCAGGCCTCCACCTCCCCTCGTTCTCTACGAACTTGGTGAGCAACGCAGTCCTTCAGGATGAATGAAGGACAGCGTGTGGCGATCTGCACGTGTGCGGTACTTTCTGCTGGTTGTCGACGACTACTCGCGTTACACCACGGTCTTCCCCTTGCGCACCAAGGGTGAGGTCCCTGCTGTCCTGATCCCTTGGATCCGAGCAGTTTGTCTCCAGCTCCGCCGGAGGTTCCGTACGGACCTTCCTGTCCTGCGTCTGCACTCTGACAGAGGTGGTGAGTTCACCTCCGACCTCTTGCGGGCCTTCTGTCAGGGGGAGGGCATCGAGCAGTCGTTCACGCTTCCGGGCTCACCGCAGCAAAATGGGGTTGCTGAGCGCCGCATTGGCTTGGTCATGGAGATCGCTCGTACCTCCTTGATCCATGCGGCGGCTCCCCATTTTCTGTGGCCGTTTGCGGTCCGGTACGCCACGCAGTAGCTCAACCTCTGGACCCGTGTCTCCTTGCCGGAGACCTTGCCCACACTGCGTTGGACGGGAGAGGTTGGCGATGCGTCGCGGTTCCGGGTCTGGGGTGCTCGTGCCCTTGTCCGCGATACGTCCGCGGACAAGCTCTCCTCCTGCACCATTCTCTGTGTCTTCCTTGGCTTTGTCCCTGACGCGCATGGCTGGCAGTTTTACCACCCCACCTCGCGCCGTGTCTTCCCCTCTCAGGACGTCACCTTTGACGAGTCGGTTCCTTTCTACCGTCTCTTCCCCTACCGCACTGCCCCTCTCCCTCCCCCGCCGCTTTTCCTCGCTCCAGGTCCCCCTCCGGTAGACCCCCTCCCCCCTCAGGGTCCTGCTCCTTCAGGTGTGTCTTAGGTAGACCCACTCCCCTTGGCTGAGCCTTTGGAGGTCACTTCCGACACCTCTGGCCCACCTGAGGGGGGTTGACGTTATTGCTGACGCCCCAGCGGCCTGCAGCCGCACACCACGCTTGGAGACCCCTCCGGGTTTCCCGCCGCGACCGTCTCCAGCCGCCTCTGCAGCCGGTTTCTGACGACTCTGGTGCTACTGGGGGTGGTGCTACTAGGGGTGCTGCGTCTGGGGGTGCTGAGCCTGTGCGTGAGGTGCTGGGGGGTGTGGAGCCTGGGGGTGCTGAGCCTACGAGTGCGGAGCCTGAGGGTGCTGAGCTGGAGGGTGCCGGGTCGGGGGGTGCTGAGTCAGCTGGCGTTCCTCCGGGTCTCGTTTCCCAGCGGGGACCTCTCTCACCACAGCAGCTACGAGAGTGGCTTGCGTGGCGTACCCGCCTGAGGAGTCGTGTTGCTGGAGCTGGAGGTCCTGCTGCTGGAGGTACTGCTGCTCGAGGTGCTGAGGCTGGAGCTGCTCGTCGTGGAGGCGCTGGGAGTGCTGGTGTTTCTGGTTCTGGAGGTGCTCGTACTGGAGGTACTGGAGCTTGCAGGACTTGTGGTGCTGCTGGAGCTGGAGGTGCTAGTTCTGGGGGTATTGCTATTGGTGGTGTTGGTGTTCTAGGCAGTGGAGCTGTCGACAATGGTGCTGGAGGTGCTGGCTTTGGAGGTCCTTGCCCAGGGGGTTCCGAGTCTGCTGGTGCTGAGCCTAGGGGTGCTGAGTCTGCTGGAGGTCCTCCAGGTGCCGCGTCGCAGCGGTCACCTCTCTCGCCGCAGCAGCTGCGCGAGTGGCTTGCTTCGCGCACCCGCCTTCGGAGTCGCGCTGCTGGAGCTGGAGACGCTGCTGCTGGAGGTGCCGGAGCTGGAGGCACTGGAGCTGGAGGCACTGGAGCTGGAGGCCCTGGAGCTGGTGCTGTCGACCCTGGAGTTGGAGACCCTGGAGCTGGAGGTGCCGGTTCTGGGGGTGCTGCTGCTGGAGGTACTGGGGCTGGAGACCCTGGAGCTGGAGGTGCCGGTTCTGGGGGTATTGTTGCTGGAGGTGCTGGGGCTGGAGGCCCTGGAGCTAGTGCTGTCGACCCTGGAGTTGGAGACCCTGGAGCTGGAGGTGCTGGTTCTGGGGGTGCTGCTAGTGGGGGTACTAGGACTGCAGACCCCGGAGCTGGAGGTGCCGGTTCTGGGGGTGCTGCTGCTGGAGGTACTGGGGCTGAGGACCCTGAAGCTGGAGGTGCGGGTTCTGGGGGTGCTGCTGCTGGTGGTGCTGGAGCTGGTTGGAGGTGTTCGCACAGGAGGCGCTGGAGCTGGAGCTGGAGCTACTGGAGGCGCTGCAGCTACTGGTGCTAGTGGCACTGCACAGCCGCGGCTGTTAATCGCTCCACCGTCCCCGTCGTCTCTGCCACCGCCCGACTCCGTGCTTCGCCAGGTTCTTAGCCTCCCGTTACAGCCAGGCTCCCCACTACCTGCTCCTTCTCCTTACACTGAGCAGACAGACTTGCTCACAGAGCATCGTGAGCTTGCGTCTCGTCCTGCCTCGCCTGTTCGCGCTCGTCGCACTGTTCCTCGTGTTCCTCGTGAGCGTCCTCCTCCTGTTCCCGGCACGCACACTATGGCACTTCGTCCTTCCTCTGTTCCACAGCGTGTTCCCCTGCCGTCTCCTCCTGAGTCCTCTCTTCCGCACGTTTTGGACCCTGAGTCTGACCTGGTTCGTGCTGCTCACCCTACTGTCACGCGTCTGTTAGCCACTGTTTTCACTGACTCTTCGTTTGAGTCTGCTGCTGCGTCTGCCTTAGTTGCTGAGCTTATTGACTTATCTGCTGCTTGTCGTCTCAACTACGCCTCTAGTCTTGTTGCTGCGTCTGAGTCTGTCTGTCCTCCGTCCGTCGAGGGTGAGTGTGCTCTTGGCACGGACGTCTTTGAGGACAGGCAGGAGGACTTTGAGTGTCTTGCAGCCGCTGCACCTCATCTCGTGGCCATGCTGCTTGCCCCTAAGGGAGACCCGGATGCACTAGACATCCCGACCCCGCGCTCTCACATAGAGGCGATTTCGGGTCCCTACTCCTCTCAGTGGCAGACAACCATGGACGCAGAGATGACATCCTGGAAGTCCACAGGCACTTACGTCAATGAGGTTCCCCCTCCTTGGGCGAACATAGTCGATGGCATGTGGATTTTCAGGGTGAAGCGGCCGCCGGATTCTCCGCCTGTCTTCAAGGCTCGTTACGTTGCACGAGGCTTCAGTCAGCGACAAGGAGTTGACTTCTTCCAGACCTTCTCCCCCACCCCAAAGATGACCACTCTTTAGGAGCTGCTGCATGTTGCTGCTCAGCGTGACTACGAGCTTCACTCTCTGGACTTCAGCACAGCGTTCTTACAAGGCAGTATGCACGAGGAGATCTGGCTGCGCCGCCCACCTGGCTTCACTGGGCCGTTCCCTCCTGGTACCCAGTGGAGCCTTCGCCGGCCAGTCTACGGTCTCCGTCAGGCGCCTCGTGAGTGGCACGACACACTAAGGACGACACTTGCGGCTCTTGGGTTTGCCCCTTCCACTGCTGACCCGTCGCTGTTTCTACGCACCGACACCTCGCTGCCGCCGTTCTACATCCTCGTGTACGTCGACGACTTGGTCTTTGCCACGGCTGACACTGCGGCACTCGCCCTTGTGAAGTCGGAGCTGCAGAAGAGACACACGTGCACAGACCTGGGTGAACTGCGCAGCTACCTTGGCTTGCAGATCACCCGGGACAGAGCATGCCGCACCATCACACTGACTCAGTCACACATGGTGCAGCAGGTCCTTCAGCGCTTCGGCTTCACTTGGTCCTCGCCACAGTCCACTCCTCTGGCTACCGGTCACTCGCTCTCAGCTCCACCTTCAGACGAGTCCGTAGAGCCGAGTTGCTTGTATCAAGAGCTAGTGGGCTGCCTCGCGTAGCCTCTTGGCCTTCTGACACGTTACGCTGCTCCTGGTAGACACCGAAAGGTGCACTGGGATGCTGCAAAGAGGGTACTGCGCTACTTGTGTAGTACATCGGGCATGGGGCTCGTGCTTGGAGGGCGGGGTTTAGTTGTCCTTACTGGACACTCAGACGCTTCTTGGGTTGACGACCAGGCTACGCAGCGGTCGTCACAGGGTTACACGTTCAGCCTTGGCTCCGGCTCTGTTTCTTGGCGGTCTACCCGCTCGTCGTCTGGTCTCAGGTCCAGTTGTGAGGCTGAGATCTACGCCACAGCCATGGCTGCACAGGAGTTACGCTGGCTCACCTACCTACTGACCGACTTGGGAGAGCGGCCTCGTTCTCCTCCAGTTCTGTACGTAGACAACAAGGCTGCCATTACCTTGTGTCAGGAGCACAGACTGGAGCACAGAACGAAGCACATAGCTCTGCGTTACTTCCTCGCTCGAGAGTTGCAGCAGCGTGGTCAGCTTCGTGTTGCTTACGTGGCCACTCGGGCCAACACTGCTGATGTGTTTACCAAGGCACTTCTATCTGGTGACCATCAGCGCTTCTGCACTGCTCTAGGCCTGGTGCCTGTGTTTGCTCACTTGCTTACTTCTTGACTTTGTTTGTACTGTGATCTATATTATATACCTGCATGCCTACTCCTGCTAGGTAGTGATCACTGTACTGTTGTTGTTGCATATATACCTCTGCATGTGAACTGGCCTTGTGGCCCTTTGCTTGTGCTCAGAGTGTGTGGTGACGTTGTGATCCACCCTGGGCTTGCTTTGCTTTTCTTGACTGGTCTTGTGACCCCTTGTTCTCCCCCACTTTGCCTATGGGGGTGTGTCAAACTATATATGTGTTAGTTCTGTGTAGGCTATAGTGGGGTAGCCCATATGGGGTACAACCCAAAGTTAGGGTTAGTACTTGTACCCACATATCATTGAATGCAGTCATTACTGCTCGTTAGTTTCTAACAGTATTAACACAATGCACATTCGAATACAGACACTTGAATAACTTACATAGCACATAAAAGACTAGTCTTATGATACCTCCTGGTCGTACGATACCTCTTGGTCGTGCAGATCTCAGGATGGTCGACGTAAAGCTCTTTGATCCACAAAACCACTGGAGTCGACGTGAATGAAGTCCTAGTTATCTTCTGTTGCTTTTCCACAATGCGAATCCGGTCCCCTAATGAGCCTAACGCCGCCAAAGTGTCTGTTTCCATCAAACACCGAACACAAAGGGCACAACAAGAAACCAGACTCTATCTTGGAGACTGTCAGCTCTACAATGAAGGATGAAACATATATGTAAAAAAATTAAAGCAATTTGAGCAAAACATTGTTATTATGAATGTTGATTACAAATGCTCAAATGCTGGATAGCGTAGAAATGAAACAACAATAAGCGTCACAAGCATATATTGACATGAACTAACATAACACAAATATGTTGTATAATATTAAATGTGATGTCATGAAATGGTATGAACACAAACCTGACAGCATGTGCATGGATCGGGTGAGAACAATGCATCAAGTCGTGTAGGAGTGATTACACTCAGCGAAATGTGGTCGTTCTCATCCGCCATGCGAGCATGAGATAAACGATGCAGATGAGTAACCGTCAAGTATGCCAGCGGAGTACCCGAAAGAAGTTTCAGTAATACATTGATATATGGTAAAAATGAAGATGCTACCAACTCTAAGCTCCGTTTGAACTTGCTGTAGCTAGCTCTATGTTGAAGAGAGCATGGTGTTGTAAGCATTTCTGTGTTGCAGCCATCTATACACCACGACAGCCTCATGCTGCAGACAACCCCATTATGTGAACAAGACTGTGTTATAGCCAGCCCCACTTCATGTACAACCTTGTGGTACGGACAATTCGATGCTGCAAGCAGCCCCATACTCCAGGCAACCCCATGCTGCAAGCAACCCCATGCTGCAAGCAACCCCATGCTGCAGGCACTTTTTTATGCAACCAAATTCATATTGCAACTATCCATTTGAAGGTATGCCCCATGCTGATGATTACCTCATGCTGCAACTAGACCCATACTACAAAAACATCTAAGCAAACAATGGCTTCAAATATGTAATCAAAACCTTGCCCAAGTTCCTTGGAGATATTGCAATTGATATAGCACATGTCGTATGTGGCCCCAAGCACAAACTCTCCTCATATTTTACAGCACCTGTCGATCGTCCATGGTGCTGGTGGCGGATATGTCCCAGACCATAAAATCAGCTCCATGACTTTCCCTTCAGCATCCATCACATACTGCTTTGTCAAAAATCTACTCGCGGTTGGTTGATCGAGGTCGTAAGGTCGAACACTAACAATCAGCTCACAGACCATGAAGTTCAAAGGCTCTTGCGGAGAGAAGAGGGTTGAGGGATGAGGGCTGAGGGCTGAGCGTCACAGCGTGAGACACGGAGTGCGACAAGAGCACAAGGGCTCACCTGGGGGCAGCCGCGAAGTGGTCAGACAGGCGTTGGACACACGCCATGGACCCCGGCGGGAAGAGCATCACAGGCTGGACAAGGCGGACGGAGCAACGAGAACCAAGCCTGGGGAGGCGCAACAGCGAGCGGAGCCTAAGGCAGAGGAAGAGGCACAAGAGGCGGAAGGGGAAGGAGAGGGGCGATTAAGGGTGGAAGAGAGGCTTTGGTGAGATCAGGAACGTGGCGGGAACGATACGATCGCCCAGAACAGGTAGCGTCGTCGAAAAATCAGGACGTTGTGGTTTTAGACAACAGCAAGGAAGGGCAGGCCTATGTAGCCTCAGAATCCAAAGCCTCTGAACAAATATCGCTGGAGGAAGAGGATTGCACGCCGAGAAGGGGGCGGGCAAGGAGAGAATATCAGAGAAATATCCCTAGGAAAGGGGAAAGAACGTGATGGTAATAAATGATGGTGAGAGGGAATCAAGGGTGCGATCCCTAACAGACCTAGTTGAGGACCCAGTCTTGTGGCAGCAGGTCGCCAGATCATATACCGCTGCCTCATGCGTGGGGACCAACCATTCTTGGTTCGCCGAATGCCATCCAAAATCCTGGAGAGCTATACACTCTGCCTTTTGGCGCCTCTTCTACGACTCCAGAAAAATCCAGACTGTCCAGCTGCCTGGGTGATTCTCCAGTTCCTTCTGAGCCTGACACTGCGCCCACCCTCCGAACTATGGAGGGTAACAGATGAACGGAGATCGAACTTTGACTCCACCAATTCCAACTCGGCAGCTGGGATGGGCTATTCAGGGAGGCATGTGGCATACCCGAAAATGACAACCTGATAAGACACTAGCCGAATGATATAGGACCGTGCACCCGAGCCAAAGGATTGATAAAGAAGGCAAGTATTTTAAAGGTATTTGCAGCCTTGCGAACTACACTACTCGCGGAAGCTACCCCAGCGACACTAGCAGCCCTCCAAGCGAAACATTCAGTCGTCAAATTACCAACACCAAGTGTGGTAACAGGGGATAACCGCTCAAGGCTTAGCGTTACAGCAGACAATCTTCGCGAGATCCTCGCAAAGGTAGTGATGCACCTGCTTAGTACGTTCCAGACACAAGCCGTCTGTGATCTCCTGCTACCAACACAAAGCCGAGCTGCATCTCAAAACTCTGCCAACAAGGGGAGGATTCCCAACCCTCACCTGAAAAAATGCAAACCCTGAACCTCCCTGCCAATTTCACCTGAGCAGCTAGCAAGGGACCAATCCCGTTTCAGCGTAACTAGGACCTGACCCTGCTTCATGACAGTCACCAGCGCCCATTGTCACGAAAACTCCCGCGAGATACCCGCCCCCAATTCACCATGGCACAGCCAACGCCGCTGCTGCACCTCGTGCGAAATCCTGATCCAATCGCAGGCTGGCGCCTGCTGCTATTTCTCGTGTGGCTGTTACTGTGCCAGAGCAACCCTAAGAAGCCCGATTGGCCAGCCGTGACAGCACGACTTTGCCAATTCTTCGAAGGCGAGTGGCGAGCCCTATAAGAGACATCTCTAGCTGCCTTCAGCTCCCTGCCTCCGCCCCGCTACCAGCCTGACGATTTGGGAAGACGCTCTCGAGTAGAGGGCTTGGCACGAAAAGGAAGTCTTCGCAAAGCAGTGATGGTGCTAGTGGCAACACAAGTGGCCACAGCTTCGCCCTAGGTGCTGGACGCCCTGAGATTCAAGCACCCACCCTCCTCGGACGAGCCCATAGACTGGACCCCCAACCCCACAATAACACCCACCTCCATCGACAAGGCAGCTTTCATGAAGCTGTTGTGTAGAACAGACAACAAAGTAGGAGTCGGCTCGTCATGATTGACCTTCGAGCAGCTCGGGCATCCAGCCATCACAAATGTTGAAGTCAACACCCACCTCCATGCCCTTGTCAACACAATCTCGCGAAAGTCACTACCAACTGAAATCAACAACCTGCTCATCTCATCAAGACTCCTCGCCATGGAAAAACCAGAAGGTGGCACCAGACCCATAGTTATCGGCGACTGTCTCATCCACCTCGCCACCAAATCCGCGCTATTCGCCATAGCAGATGCCACCCGCTCCTTCCTCCTGCTCCAGTTCGGGGTAGCCGTCCGAGGAGGGAGTGAGGCTGTTATACACGCGGCACGAGCATAAATGAGCGCAAACCCAGGCGCCCTCATCCTGCAAGTAGATTTGGCCAATGCTTTGAGCATCATCAGCCGCGGCGCCAATGTTAAAGCCATACGAGAAACGACACTCGAATGTCTGTTACCGCTTGTCCGCTTCTCATATGGAGCCCTACCCCAACTGTACCTAGGCGCCGAGTTCCAGGGAGAGCTGTTACTAAGCCGCTTGTCCGCCAAGGCGACCTCCTTGCCCCCCTATTTTTCGCAGCAGGCGTGCATCCTGCCCTCAGGACCGCCGAAGTAGCCTTTCTCACCGTCCTCTGCCTGGCATACGTGGACGACGTGACATTCCTTGGAGCAGCAGCCGACTGTGCA